TTATTGTGCAATCCTCTCCTTGTCACGTGAAGAAGTGGGACCAAGAGTTGGGACTGAATAATTTAGTCGGTCGACGAAGGATGTACCATTTATCCAAATTGTCGCCTACAATGTGAAAATAGGAAAGCGAGTTAAAATAAACGCGCTGTTAGTTACGAGTCTTCCGATCGAAATACAGAATTTATTTTTAAAAAGAAAGAGTTTTAAAATTCATCATCCATTTTAATTATGTTTTTTGTTTATATATTTTTTTTCTTTTTGATATGGGTCAGCTCAGATCTCGCCTGGTTGGTGTTAAGTGGTTACCAGGCTCCCTAAAACTCATAAAGTGAGCGGTTGATTTTTATACTTGAAGTGGAACTTCCAGTAGTATTGCAATACGACTAATTTACAGTTAAGACTAGAATGCGCGAATGTTTTACAGCTAAAATAAGTAGGATTGGTACCCACGCTTGCAGATCTTTAACGACACCGATTTTTTTCCAAATAAATAATATTGTCATTCAGCCATACCAAATTATGTTTTACAAGTTAATGACTATGACGGAAAATTAATGTTTTCTTGAAAACTCTGCAACTTTAGCTTTATTAGCTTCAGTGAAAACGAAATGGCCCATAATTATAGCAATATTTGAATTGCCTTTTCCATAAACAACAATCGCATGTTGAGGAACTATTTGTGTGCGGCAAAATGATTATTTGGGTGTCTATTCAACTTTATTTTGGTAACATACCGAGCTTTATCATAAAATTACACCAAGCCTTAATCTTAGCATTTATACTCGTACCTACTTAAGTTCCAAAATACTGTTGTTAGGCGTTATTAACTGATTTCTTAAGTTATAGAACTAATACATATAATAGATATCTCACACGTACATTTATTAGTGAGTAACACGTTTATGCGACAGTAAAATTGAAGGGACGAATCCTTGTAAATCGAATAATAAGGGAAAATTATATTACCTTTTTTCTCGGTTCAAAGGTAGTTGTCGATTTTCGCGTGAAAGAATTCTCCGAAAATAAGATTTGTCTTTTTATTTTTTCTATTGTCTTCCAGAAAACATTCAAAGAATAAATCCTGATTTTTTACAATCTGCAAAGTTTGAAATTCTTCGAAGATTTCATAAATCAGTTAAAGATGACAGAGGCGAACGAAACCCTTGCCACCGACGCACCTTGTCATTTTCTGAATTCGCTATCGTAAGCCATAAAGCAATTTAGCGTTATAAAGATGTTTATTTTAGAAACGAGCCGGGTCCCAAGGGTTTATTTCAAGGATAGGATAACAATTAAAACTCTAAGAATACACATAGTTTTTTGTAAAACAATAATAATAATATGTAATCTATATTTAATACGTGAAGCAAAAACTTTGTATCCCTTTTTACGAAAATTGCGCGGACGGAGGATTATGAAATTTTCCAAACTTATAGAGAATATAGAGAAGAAGTGCACAACGCTAATATATTTTTTTAAATAATGCATAAAAGATGCATTAAATCAATAAAGAAAATATTACACACACTACATACCATGTATTTGACGCACACACGCATGCATACTATTTGTTCCTGACGTCTGTTGTCAAATTGAGAATACATTAAATATTGTTTGTCTTTGTTAATATTTTTTATAGTGTAGTCTTGGCAAAATTGTGATTATAGAAGTATAAAATACAATCATAATATTATACAAACTTACAATTCCAATTAATTATAGTCGAATTTCGACTACTGCGGGACCTCTAGTAATAGCGTATCTGGAAATTCTGATAGAAAGTTTCGATAAATCTGAGAATTCTCTTATCTTAACATAGTTCAGTAGAGATCTCCCTCCAATTTCTGTCTTGACTAATGGCAAGGCTTGTTGTCAGCGCGCGTGAGGTGGTACCATCATCCAAGCACTTTCTGCTCCGAATCAGTGGTGTTGGCGGCGTGACGCGTGGAACGGTTGTTAGACAATGCAATTGAGACTGCGACCTCACGACTCAAAGTGGATGACGCAATTTTTCCTTCCGCTTATTTTATTGTATTGACTACTAAATATACTGGTGCACAATAAAATTAGGGCGCCTACCAAGCCGATTGTCGTGACTGTTTCATAACTAACTCTTTATAATATATATAGAAGTCGTCGTGGCCTAAAGGATAGGTATATTCGTATTGAGCGATGCAGCGATGTTCGAATCCCAGGCGGGTACCAATTTTTCTAATGAAATGCGTATTCAAAAAATGTTCACGATTGACTTTCATGGTGAAGGAATAACATCGTGTAATAAAAATCAAACCCACAAAATTATAATTTGCGTAATTACTGGTGGCAGGACGTCTTGTGAATCAGCACGGGTAGGTACCACCACCCTGCCTATTTCTGCCGTGAAGCAGTAATGCGTTTCGGTTTGAAGGGTGGAGCAGCCGTTGTAACTATACTTGAGACCGTAGAACTTATAACTCAAGATGGGTGGCCCATTTACGTTGTGGATGTCTATAGGGCTCCAGTAACCACTTAACACCAGGTGGGCTGTGAGCTCGTTCACATATCAAAGCAATAAAAAATATATTGATTATTTATTCATTATGTTCATTCTTAAATAAAATAATGATTTTTTTAATTGACCAATTTTGTTTTTGGCAATACACAATTAAAATAAATAAAGTATTAAGAAAACATTACTACATCACACTGCTTAAAAAAAATTAAAATTAGTTTTGCTAATGTGAATCTTTCTTTAGTAAGAGATATTGCCTCCTCTGGCTTTCATAACACAAACTTTTTTTATTGCCCTTTTAGGCAGACGAGCACACGGCCTACCTGATGGTGAGTGGTTACCGTCGCCCATAGACTTCAGCAATGCCAGAAGCAGCGCCAAGGCGCTGCCTACCGCTAACAAACTATCGTTTTCGTCATGAATTATATTTAAGTTTTTAATGGTAGATTGGGGTATGTTTTCATATTCCTTACTAGACGTTGAGCTTGTCACATAAATGGTCTATGGGATTATGGTCTGGAATTCGTGCTAGCCAATCGAGAAGCTGTATCCGTACTTCTTGCAAGTAATCGCCAAAGTACATCGGACTATGGGGGCGCGCATTATCGTCTATTAAGTTAAACCAGAGGTCCCGCAGTAGTCGAAATTCGACTATAAATAATTGGAATTGTAAGTTTGTACACGATTATGATTGTATTTTATACTTCTATAATCACAAATTTCGCCAAGGCTACGCTATAAAAAATATTAATAAAGACAAACAATATTTAATCTATTCTCAATATGACAACAGACGTCAAGAACAAAAGTTTGACAATAAATAGTATGCATGCGTGTGTGCGTCAAATACATAATGTTTTATTTAATGTAATGATAATGTTTTATTTATTGATTTAATGTATCTTTTATGCATTATTTAAAAAAAAAAATAGCATTGTGCACTCCTTTTCTATATTCTCTATAAGTGTGGAAAATTTCATACTCCTCCGTCCGCGCAATTTTCGTAAAAAGGGATACAAAGTTTTTGCTTCACGTATTAATATATAGATTCTTGACCGAATTATCCTAATTATAGCACTACGTGCTCTTCAAGAATGTTAGTGATATGACTCAGCAGTCACAGTTCCACTGTCTGCATTAACCAGTTCTGTACTTTTAAGCTTATAAATCCCCAGAACAAAATGAAACTAGTTCCAAAGCTAATAGTTTCAGATGTGACACATTGTTCAAATATTTCTGCTGGTCTACGATACTCTTTTGCGACTATTAACACCATAAAAACACACACGGGATTCATATATTTTCTGCAAACCCCTGGTGGGTTTTGCATTTTCTGCAAGCTTGGTAGTCTGCTAAAATGCCTTAATCATGAAGTCCGCCAATATACACACACCGATGGGGTGAGTTAGGCTGCCTATCCACCGAGTGGAGAAACGGAGAAATATTAACCAATAAGATAAGATTGAACAAAATCATTTTGCAATCTTATGATTATGATTTTGTGCAATCTTATCTATATATATATATATATATATATATATTAAAATGAATTGCTGTTCGTTAGTCTCGCTAAAACTCGAGAACGGCTGGACCAATTTGGCTAATTTTGGTCTTAAATTATTTGTGGACGTCCAGAGAAGGTTTAAAAGGTAAATAAATATGAAAATGCTCGGAATTTAATAAAAATAACAATCTGCCGGGTCAGCTAATTGGTTAATATTACTCCGTTTCTCCGCTCCGGTGGACAGGCACCCTTAGTATCGTAATCAAATAAATAATTAGGTACATAAAGAACAATAATTTATTCAGTTAGATACTTTATTAAATATCGTTAATACATCGCTAAAATTACTAAAGGCATTAGCATTATCGACCAATAAACTAAAAGCTAAAATGAAACTCTCATTAATTACTTGTAATTGCTAGCAACACTAACAGAAAGAAAAATGAACATTTCAATAAAACACATTACTAAATAAAGCTTGTTTGTCACTTTCAAAAGCATAATGAACTAAAATAAAATTTGTGAACCATTTTCATTACAAAAACATTTGAGTGATGAATCATTTTTATCAGAGTTCGAATTTGAAAACAATGTAAACGTATTAATGGATCAAGTGTATATTAGTATTGAAATACAAGAATATCAATAACCACCATCATAAGATTTTAAATTTATATAATGCATCAATATACAAAAATATAACTCCATTTCTCATTAATTAAAACAGCATTAGTTTTCAATATTTGTTCTTAGTCAGCCAGAGTAACATCTCAAGACATTATTTCAATGTTAACCCGAAAGTTTAAATTTAGGATCTATTAAATTTGTAATCACAATTTGTAGGTCTTAATATTTAAACCATAGTTTAGTTTAGAGATGATTGAAATTACTCTGGTGTTATAGGGTAAACCATATTATTTTTTGTACTCCTCATTCACGGATTGGCACATCAAGAAAATTGAGTGCCAATTGATTTACGTCACTCTGTGGAATGTTTTATATGAGTTTTTTTTTTTATGTTTATAGAATTCGGCAAGCAAGTTTTAGGCTGAATATACCCGGAAACTATAGAGTACTTCAATGCCCATATATAATGCTAATATTATTCTTCGGCGCCAATTGTATTAGAATGTTGGAGTGCCCGCGGTTGTATGGTTTACCCTAATATTACTGTTTTATTTGGGATGATGGTTTTCAGTGAAGAAAAGCTTAACATGGGCGACGGTCGGGTCCGCGGCGTCTGGGTGCTGCCTTCAGAATGTTATCGACACGAAGAATCATCTCGGCCGCTTCAGCCGCAGACAACAGGACCTGTCTCTTTACGACATACGACTCGGTCACACCCAACTTCTTCATATCACCAACAGTGCCGTTTTGCATATCTATGAACAAAAAAAAAACAATTGAAATGTTGCTTATAATTTTTAAATGCGGGGGATGTTTTTCAGTTTGATAATTAATTTTAATGGAAAATTAAAACCCTGATCCAGATAAACTGGACCAAATATACATATATTGTAATTTTTAAAGGAAAAAAATCACACAATATTATATTTTTATATCATTTTTATCTGATACTTTTCTATCTGTGGTATATTTCTATATAACGTTTAATCCAAATCGAGCACTCTATGAATTTTTTACCACCCCATTTTAGTCACAATATCTATAATTTAACTATGCACTACATACAAGCGCCTGGATTAATGGGCGCCACTTGTGGGGATCTGCATGTGACTTCAAAATCTAAATCTAAAGAATATTCTGAAATGAATTAGAATTAAACTAAAAATTGTTGTTGTTGTTGTTGTAGTCCTAGGGTATCCAGCTGGTACATACAAGTGGAGACAACTTGTGTGGACCCACACAAGTTGTCTCCACTTGACCCTGCCCTGTCCCTCCCTAACATACTTATACTTTATTGACATAGCCATATGCTTAAAGCTATGGCATTAGTCTCAAGTAGATTATCTGCTCTGCACGACAAGTATAACGCAACAAATCTGCTCATTAACTAAGAACTGAATAAAGTACCACATACATACAATTCTCATGTGATTGTTAGTGATGAGTGTTAGAACTACAATTACAGGATGAAGTAGTGGTGTTATATAGAATATTCCATATAGCATAGAATGTGATATAACATAATATGGAATGAAATGAACAACTCTTGGTTTTGTAAGCTTTCCCTTGTGATGACCATATTAAAAATATATGTATTTTTGTTATAATTGATGTTTTAACTATGGCTGTGTGTGACCCACAAAAGCCTGCTGCACATGAAAATGTATGATAATACAATTAGATCATCAATACTATATGTAGAATTACCTTTAAAACCTTTGAAGAATAAAAATTTTTGTTTCTTTTTTAATAATCGCTTTAAAATCAATATCTATACTAATATTAGTGGTTTTACGGATGTTCCGTTATAACTACTGAACCATGAATCCGATTGACTTGAAACTTGGTATCTATGTAGAAAATACATGTACTTAATGGATAGGCTAATATTTATATGAGTGTTGGACTCCCTACACCAGTTGCGGGGGCGTTAATGATGAGAATCTTTGTGGGGGTGAGAAATAATACTGTTAATTTTAAATGGTATTTCTACATAAAATTAGAATACGTGACAATTCGTTGTGTGAATGTGGTTTGGACGACGGCAGTATAGATCACATTTTCCTCAATTGTCGCTTGAACAACTCATTCATATGAGACCAAGTTATTAGCGAACTGAAAATTCAACGGCCGGTAAATCTCCGCCACCTCCTCTCACTGTTCCCAGACCCCCGTATTATAAGTGCTTTTATTAAGTTTTTAACTACTAACTCTATAAAATTATAATTATATGTAGTGCATTATTCTCTGTACATAATCTTTATTATAATATGGAAGTTTATAGTAACATTAATTTTGTGTTAGTCCCGTCCCAGGCACTATTATTATTGCCAAAATTGGATACTTTTCATAATAAAAAGTGTGTTTACCATAACACAACACTGGCAGAAATTGCTGAAAGTATCGGCAGATTTCCATTAAAAATAATAATAATAATTTTAAATGTTCAGCGAAGCGGATGGGTACAGCTAGTACAATATGAAATTAGAGTACCTAATCCCATAGTGTTTTCTCCTCGAGAATGATGTGCTCTGAGTCGAGCGATGAGATCAGCACTGTCGTAGCCAGCATTGTCGGCGACAGCGGACGGCAGTCTCCGGAGCGCGACTGCAAAGGCTTCGGCTGCTGCGGCTTCCTTCCCGGCTGTGCGAGCGCCGGCGCGGGAAGCTGCTTCTGCCATTAGCATTTCACCAGCCCCTACATGCAAAAATGTTTTGACATATGGATTTTATTTCCAGTATAGATAATAGGGTGTTCAGTCCAGACAGTCGAAGTTGATCAGTGACTGTGACAGTTCATCTGCGAGTCTTTGTAAAAAAAAATATTTGTAAATTTATGACACCCTTTATCCCAACTAAAAGAGATTAACGCATCATTTTGCAATAACAAATATTACAGTTATATACTGTCTTCTTAGTCGTTACACTCTTGACATATAGCAATGGAGGATGCAAATTTGATGCGCCTCACCATATCCCACTGTCACACTAGGTACACATTATTAGGTTTTAATTAATCACACATCGCACCTTTAGAATTATAGAGACCTAACCCAAAAAATGTGTTTTTTGTAAAAGGTCGAATAAAGTTTTCAAACGGAATAGACATAAGAGGAAGGGGGAAGGGGATGGTGTCAAAGAGACCCATGGATAAGTTTGTCCCTTTATAAGCTACTTTCGGTCATTTGATTAAAAAGAGCAGCTGATGATGGGTCGTTCTAGCTCAATTTTTTAATTAAAGTCGAAATCAAAAATTTCAAAATGGGTCTGTATAATTCTAAAGGTGCGATATATTCCTTTGTGTAAATGTCATGTAAAATGCAAAAGTAAAATATATTAAACATAGTTTTATTTAATTCTTTTATTTAATAATTCATACCTCCCCCACATATGACCTTCGGTTCTTTTACAGTAGCAGCAAGCACGCAAAGCGCATCATGGAGTGAACGCTCAGCTTCGTCGATAACTTGTTGTGTGGCACCACGGATTACGATCGTGCAAGCCGAGCCCAACGCTACACCAGAGAAGCGGATCAAGCTCTCATCACCAATCAGAACCTGTGAGTGGTCACCGATTATAAATATGTTACTTTATAAATACATTGTTAATTGTGATTTATTCTTGAAATGTCTTGGGTGACAGAAAACAACATCACACCACAAACGTTGCCAATTAAGTAGTTACTACAGCAAAAATTCAGTTGAACTAAACAAAAAAACTTTATCCTTAAAAGATTGGAATATGTACTTACATAGATTGTAAACAAACTCAAGCAGTACAGTGAAACCACAAATTCACTTTTTAGTAGATGTTTAAAATGTCTACTTTGAGTATTTGCTTCTATTGATATTGATAAGCAAGTTATGCACCAGAAGATTGATAAAAAACCATGTTTGAGGAACATTGGTATAGTAACAGATCAAAAGACAAATTTTCTGCATTGAAAGCAAATCTCTTATTGAGAAGAGGTTTTCTTATGATTTAAAATATGTCAATTTACCTCTTCGATCAATTTGCAGTGACCAAGTTTCACTTTGTCTGGTGAGTCAAATGTTGACACAATTTCCCCTCCAGTGACCAAGCCAAGCCTTTCGATACCTTCGAAATCAGCATGCTCAATTGCCATTACTCCAGCATCAGCAAACAACTGCTCTGGGTAGTTGTATATAAGTTGTCTGAAAATTAAAATTACCATAATAAGATACCCTCTTAGGCTTCCAAACACAAAAACTTCAAGAGATTAATTTAATATAAGCATATTTATGCTTATTTCAGATGCTATCACAGTTAATTTGTTTTATTTTACTTAAATATTATTTTAGTCATATCTGCATTTTTATTATGTATCAACAAAGCACTGGGGTCGTTAGTTTGACTTCACCTATTGAAGAAACAAGCAAAGTCATGTTATAGTTTAGTCAATAAACATTTCAATACATTAGAATATATATTCTGGGTCATGAGATCTTTTTTTGAAAGAAATAAATTATTATGATTTGTTATTTAATAATGAATTAGCACATGTGTTGGGTAACAAATCAGTTCATTGTGTGTGTCTTTATGCAACCCCCACTTAGCAATTACTATATCAAAAGGAGAACAATTACCCTCACTAATACACTACATAAATAGAAAAATAATCAGGTTTGTAAAAAAAATTGTTTAATGTTATGTTCTACTCTTGAGTAAAAATAATAAATTACTTAAATTAGGTTCGGTCAGCCTAATTTAAAATAAAAACAGTGAGGTAAGATATCAATGTGGGCACCTCTGTTTACATTTTGAAATCTATAAGCTCTTGTAATTGGTCAACATCAGATCGGAGCTCACTTGACCAACTAAGCAAATACAAAATAGAAACAACTTATGACTCACTGACTCAGAAATAATAATTAAGAACCAATCATTGCAACAGCAATCAGTTTTGTATAAGAATAAGTAATGTATAAGAATAAGTAATGTATAATAATAAGTAATCTATAATAATATTTTCTGAGTATCCCAAAAAAGAGCAATTATACAAATATTTATAGTAAAACAATCTCACCTGTTAATGAAGACATTACATTTGTGTGCTAAAATCTTGTTCACTTTGTCCTTCATTTTCTCTTTCTCAGCTACTTCCAATTCAGCAATCTTGGCCATTGAATCCACTTTAATTGTGGAACCAAACACTTTAATCTTGTCAGTGTCCATTGGTGTGTTTGCAATAAGGATGTTAGCATTTTCTACTTTCTTTGGTTGATGTACACCAACCTTTAAGAAATAATATGCCCATTAAAATTTTTGTATCTATAGGTACTGTTTTTCTTTATTATTGTAATGATTAAATAGAAAAACTAAAGAGCACTAAAACTCAATCATTCAAAGGTTTTTTTAAAACTTACTTTTTTGTTTAGCAAGAACCCTTCATCCAAGAATGATTCTTCAAGAAGACCTCCAGATATTTTGATAATTTGAATAGCTTTTAAATTACCAGATCCTTTCAAACGCAAAACTGCATCAACTGCTAATTTTGTGAAATGCCTGAAAGAATATTATACAGTTTATACTGTCTTTGGCCTGAATATTTATGCAACAATGCTGTATGTATATCGTAATGCCTGTTGGCTCTAGATGGCACTTGAGAATAAGTGAACTATTGAGGCTAATTAAAAAAATACCTTAAGCTTTAGTAATTTGGATAAAAAATATAAATCTCGGCACTACCTTTGGTTGACTGGTAGAGAATGCTTTAGGCATTAATTCCACTAATGAAAATTTTACATGAAGTGTAATAAATAAATAAATAAAAAACTCATAAAAAATTTCACTCCGTTTGTACCGTTTCTGTGTTAAAAAATATGAGAAATCACTTTAATTAACCTCTGCTGTTTGGGTTTAGATAATCTAATGCCAATATTTTCTAGATAAGCTGACACATAGACAAACTACAGTTTTTTGATATCTTTTATTAAGCTACAGCTAATGACAAAAGAAATTATGATTCTTAGCCAAAAGTTATAATTATTCAGCCATTACTGGTAAATTTACATTATTTTTAAAGCAGATTCTCATGACTTATACTCTTTTTATGCTCATCTCATTGATATAAAGTTGTACCCTAAATCTTTGGTGATCAGCTCTGCATAACTCTAAAAAAATCAGAACTTAGACATTCTAATGAAGACCCTGATTGGAAACACTGTGGTAGATAAAATTGAGTTGCCCTACAAAAAAAAATACAAATGGTAACATTAGCAATACAGCAATAACTCTTGGAAAATAAAAGACCTAATGAATTAAAATATATTATTATCTAATGTATATCTAATAATATTGGAATTCATATACTAGTATGTCACAGATATAGCTAATAAATAAAGATATTTTTCAATTGATTTATATTGAAAACAATGTAATTTCAGAGTATACTGGTGTTCACTACTCACTCTTTGTGATTTGAAAGGATCTTTGAGCTCAGTGTGGTCCGTGCGATGTTTTCTAAATCCACTCTTAATGAAGCCTCATTTAAGTTCTTCTGATGATCAAAGCTAGCTTCTGCAAGAGCTTGTTTGGCTGCATCAGAAGCAATTCTCCAACCAGCAATGATTGTTTGAGGGTGCAGCTTTTGTTCAATTAATTTTTCAGCCTCTCGAAGTAATTCAGCAGCTGAATTTAAATAGAACTTTTATCATTATGAGATGCATTTATATGAATTGCAAAAAAAATCTGATTATATGTTAAAAATTGTATATTTACAAACATATTTCAACTATTTGGTAAGTTTTATTTCAATTTATAACAATGTACAGAGTCAATGTGTTTGCCGTGGTGTTTCCCAAGCACCTTGCTTGCTTGTCCTTTTTCAAACCAGGCTTGTGGAGAGTACTCAACAGTGGGCAGCGGCTTGGCTCTGCCCCTGGCATTGCTGAAGTCCATGGGCGACAGTAACCACTCACCATCAGGTGGGAGGTATGCTCGTCTGCTTGCAAGGGCAATAAAAAAATGAAATTAAAGACAAAATTATTGTCACTAAAGTTTTAACTAACCCAAAACTGTAACAGATGTGGTGCCATCTCCGACTTCTTCATCTTGTACCTTAGACATATCTACTAGGATTTTAGCAGCAGGATTATCCACACCGATAGATTTCAATATCGTAGCACCATCATTTGTTACTTCGACCTGAAGCGAAAATTCTTTATGCATAAAACATTTCAAAACACAGCATACATTATTAATGTTTAATAAAAAGACAGTTAATTTTACCTGACCAGAGTTCCTCCCGCAGGAAACTAAGATCTTATCCATTCCTTTGGGACCTAAAGTACTCTTTACCAAATCTCCTATGGCAATGGCACCGATGAAACTGGACATCCGGGCAACTTCAGCTTTCTCCTCTTCTGCTTCATTTTTAAGGATACGAATTGGATTTAATGATACCTGTATTAAATTAATTTTAATTTAGAATTACATGTACACGTGCGTGAGGTTATACGGCATCGGGTTCTATTTTCACTTAGTTTTCACTGAATACGTCGTTTTTACTTATAAGTATCAGTAACAATGAAGATACGTTAGATTAAATTAAAGATTTTACTAACCATTTTGGATGAAGGACCTAATTAATTATTTTTCTTTACGCTTTTATCGGCTACAATGCACAAAGAGAAAAGGGAACGACCGAACGACCACTTTGATCACTAATAATGTATACTCTATGTCATGTATTATCTATGCTCTATGTATTTGCTCTCTGTTTTTTGCTAAACTTGTCTATTGGAAAAGCAAAGGGAACGAAACTCATGTAATGAAATCTTGTATTACAAAAATCAAAGCCTCGTATGAATATTGAAATGGAAGTGATTTTACAAATGAAATCGAAGAATGAATCTTCGAAGAATGAATCTTCGAAGAATGAATCTTTGGTGGAAATGCAAATTGATTGACTGAAGTTATGCGAATTCATTTATTTTATTAGTGAGTGGTCTCCTCAGATTAAAACGTGTGTTCATAGTAATTTATTAATTAGGGCAGCTTTGACAGGGAGAATTGAAGTCAATAAAATCGCTGAACGTTGTTTATGATCTCTTTTTTTTTATCGTCACATTTCTGTCGCCATAGCCGAACCTAAAACCACTGCGTTTTCAAAAAGATTTCTTGCTACATACAATTTAGTTTTGGAATAAACTCTCCTCCATTACATTTTTTGAATACTATGTGACCTGGTTGTGCTGTTGATGATGATCATGAGCGATGGTTATAAACATATTTCAACGATGGCGAATAAAATTGAATAAATGGCTGTGGCTTTTGTTACAAAATCGTACTAAAGTTCATCCGTATATACCTTATACACTGCCTTAAAATAAAGTTGAATACCACTGCATCAAATCGTTAAATTTCACCAAGTTACCAGCTTTGAAACGTTATAAATGAAATACAAAAATCTCGAAATTTTACTATTTGAAATCTATTTATCGATTAAAAATCGTTTCATTTTGGTTAAGCAATCAATCTTAGATCGCCATCCGCCATCCCTAATCCTAATATTTCTATTTAGTCTGTGGTGACGCCATATTTACATTCTACGCCCGTCACCAGTGACCGAATAATAATATTCTGCATTAATCTAGTTACATTCACATTGAAATTTAATAAAAACAGTTCATAATATACAGTAAAAATGGAAGAACAAGGAGGAAGTTCCGCACCAAGAGTAAGCGACAAACGCTTGGCACAAACACAAGCCAAAGTAGATGAAGTTGTTGGCATTATGCGTGTCAATGTCGAGAAAGTTTTGGAAAGAGACCAAAAATTGTCGGAACTAGATAATCGCGCAGATGCGCTGCAACATGGGGCTGCACAGTTTGAACAGCAAGCTGGAAAACTTAAGCGCAAGTATTGGTGGCAGAATTTGAAGATGATGTTAATTATAGGTGCTATTGGTGCAGTGTTGCTTATTATCATTATTGTGTGGGCAACGTCCGGTTCGTCATCCCCTGCCGCGCCTCCGGTAACTGAAGCGCCTAAAGATGTTGGCCGATAGTTAGCCAATTTAAACATATATTCCAAAAAGTATTTATTGTGACTGGGATTGGGGTTCAGAAACGACCAAGCGCGACTGGACAAAGGAAACTTGTAATAGACGCACACTATATTTCTACATGAGTTTTACATTTAGCCTTAAAAATATTGAAAAATTTATACTGTTTACAAAAGTCCCAAACAAAATACTATACAATTTTATAAAAGTTAATACATTAAGATTATTATTATGAAAAATTGTGATTTCTCTTCATAGCTAGCTTTCATATTTAACAGTGGCCAACAATATTTTTATAAATATCTTGTGATAGGTAGTAATAAATTACGAATAGAGTGTATGTATCACACAGATTGATTATTTAAACTCACTTAACACATTCCGTGCCAAGTATCCTTGCCTGACTTGTCATTCACTCCATTTGATATTTGGACTAAAGATTGATAAATTTTTACAAAACATACTAAGTAAACATGTTCATGTAAGAATCACATTTTACAGAATTACATTTGTTATATATATTCAGTGCAATAAATATGACTGTGTCTACCATGATTCATATGGCACGGAAGCGATTAAATATTTCTCTCCAAAGCAAAATAAAAAGCACTTTTCACACTGAACAATTCACTAGTAGACTTGTCAGTTCCAATAAGTTGTGAATTTGTGATGGTAAATTCTTTACAAATTAACTGAGATACAAAATTTTCACCTAGAAATATGGAGGTAAATAAAACTTACGAACTATAATCACTGTAAAGTGGTTGTTCAAAAAATAAATGATATCAATATTTGATGTTGAGAAGGGTTTGTCCCATTTTGTAAGTTCAGGAATAAAATATAAAGGCAAATTGTCCCATTTGTCTATAATAAAAACTTACAAAAAAATATTAACATAAAACAATGTTGCACAATAAATTCTGAGATGTTTAAATAACACAGAACACAGGTGCTGCAAGGATAAAGATAAAGATGTGTACCTTTACCATTTATTGAATTATTGCTGTGCTACTTTTTAAGAAATTGCACATTCATTGTGTTGCACATTATCCAATCACAAACTTTGGTATAACCATGTAATCTACTAACAGTAACTCTTGTTGGGACCAATTAACGGGGTTAATGATATATTATCAATTGTCTCTAAGCCATATTTGAATTTTAATGTTAATAAAAGTCTGGAAACTTCTCAAAGCAACTGATGAATCAGTTTGTTAATTATAGTGAAGTCCATTATCATTGTATGACAGTGAAAAATGTTAATGTTGTATTATACTAAATCAATATATGTGTAACACTTATCCTAGTTATTTTGTATTGTATAGATGTAATAAAATGTGTATTCTTCAATTGCTTTATTATTTCTGTTTTACAGAACAATCACATTTGGCACACATTGCTGTCAGATTGAAACAACTAGTTCATTGCACTTCTTAATTCAATATTGATTAAAGAAACATCTAGATATATTTTATTCATACATTTCAATCAAGATATGTAATGTATGGTATTAAAATAATGAGAGTTAATTTTCATTGTTTAACAGAATAATGGATGGTAACTACCAGAAATAAACTAGTCACATAGTTTGAAATTCTGTATAGTGCTACTTTTAACACACTCATATTTNTTCATTGCACTTCTTAATTCAATATTGATTAAAGAAACATCTAGATATATTTTATTCATACATTTCAATCAAGATATGTAATGTATGGTATTAAAATAATGAGAGTTAATTTTCATTGTTTAACAGAATAATGGATGGTAACTACCAGAAATAAACTAGTCACATAGTTTGAAATTCTGTATAGTGCTACTTTTAACACTCATATTTTTAGTCCTGCATGGATGTCCATATAAATGTTATGATTAATTGATCTACAAGTAAGCAATATGTTAGAAAATTCATACAAAATAATATAATATATTTAGGCAAACAAGGATCACATGCAACACGAGATCATGTGCCTTGAGAATCGAGATAAGAGTGACACATTGAAGTCTAAAAAGATCTTGATCTTGTTTCCCCCTACCTATTTGTTGGTAGCCTAAGGGATTATTCGAACTCACTAACACTGAAGTATGAAACCTATGGAAATGAAACGTCAACAAAAAATTCGTGCCACTGTGACGTCATCTGGCCACAAAACATGGCGGTTTTAGCGCTGCCCAAAAGATTTTAATGTTAGTACGTTTTATCGATAGACGTTCTTAGCTCATTTTATTTTATATATTGTTGAGTATGAATTATTTGTAGAATTTATACTTTAATAGGAAGTAAGTATATTGTTTTGTGCAAAGATGATGTGATTTAGATATTATGTGAAATTAAGACGAGTTCGTACTTCAAATTTGCCAAGTAAACGATATGATGATTTTTAAAATTTGTTACACTGATTTTATATAGTTGTCGTTTGCCGCAAAACATAAAGATATGGCGTAGTGCAGTGCCATCTGCCCATTTCTAGCATGCTAAATGTTATGGTATTTTGAGTACGTGTTTTTCTTAGACTATTACAATCTATTTTAATTCTGTTGCTAACTCTAAAGTCCGTAACACACTACCGCAGCGCACCTCAAGGAAGGTGCACCGCACCATTTGAATCACTCTCACTTGAGAGTGATTAAAATTTTAAGCTTATCAAGGGAACACGTGATAAAAAAAAACACCTACAGAACATTAATTCATTAATTACAAAGTCATTCCTTGTGACTTCCTCTTTAAAATCACTTAATTACTAAATATTTAACGAATTTACAATAGTGTTTTACTCACTGCGGAATAAAACTATTTTATTTAAATAGTTCCGAAGAGATTTTGTCGGTAGCCTTTTTCCCGAAATATCTAAACAGAATGTATAAATATGTTTTGATGACATATTTTAAAGAGGTATTTATGATTAGTATCATGATCAATAGATTCCGACCGAAAAACGGGGTCCGATTTTTCGGATGAGGGCTCCATAATGAATTTAAATATATATAGATAATAGTTTTGGGGCATCGACTTTCTTGAGATCCTATAAAATAGTTTTTAATTATTATTTTTGTATGTTTTAAGCGGGGTAGCATGATAAAATATGAAATTTTATATAAGCAATCATATTAAATCGATATGAAAGTCAATAAATAATGTACAACCCAAAACCACTGAAGTAGGAAACCTATGGAAATGAAACGTCAACAAAAAATTCGTGCCACTGTGACGTCATCTGGCCACAAAACATGGCGGTTTTAGTGCTGCCCAGAAGATTTTAATGTTAGTACGTTTTATCGATAGACGTTCTTGGCTCATTTTATTTTAAATATTGTTGAGTGAATGTATTTGTAGAATTTATACTTTAATAGGAAGTAAGTATATTGTTATGTGCAAAGATGATGTGATTTAGATATTATGTGAAATCTAAGACGAGTTCGTGCTTCAAATTTGCCAAATAAACGATATGACGATTTTTTAAATTTGCTATACTGATTTTATAAAGTTGTCGATTGCCGCAAAACATAAAGATATGGTGTAGTACAGTGCCATCTGCCCATTTCTAGCATGCTGAATGTTATCGTATTTTGAGTACGTGTTATTCTTAGACTATTACAATCTATTTTAATTGTTTTGCTGACTCTAAAGTCCGTAACACACTACCGCAGCGCACCTCAAGGAAGGTACGCCGCACCATTTGAATCACTCTCACTTGAGAGTGATTCAAATTTTAAACTTATCAAGGGACCGCCTGATAAAAAAAAACACAAGAACATTTATTCGTTAATAAAATTACAAACGTCATTCCTTGTGACTTCCTCTCTAAAATCACTTAATTATTAAATATTTAANAAAGTATAAATTCTACAAATACATTCATACTCAACAATATTTAAAATAAAATAAGCCAAGAACGTTTATCGATAAAACCTACTAACATTAAAATCTTCTGGGCAGCACTAAAACCGCCATGTTTTGTGGCCAGATGACGTCACAGTGGCACGAATTTTTTGTTGACGTTTCATTTCCATAGGTTTCCTACTTCAGTGCATTAAACATTTACGTATATTCATGTTTCATTTTATGTACGCACTGAAATACTGTTATATTGTTTTCCTGCGAGTTACAGTGCTGAGTAAGAAAGAGATAGATATATGTTTAGGTGTGTGCCTTCAAAATGGGTGCTATTTATATAAGCAATTATACGTATAGAACAATATGTCGTGTCCCTATTATATAGGTCTATGTTCGAACTACGCGCGGAAGGGTACGTGAACTCACGGACTCAACCTGAGACAATTTACTATACTCCCTACCCCTAACAAGAGCAGAATATCAAGGAATAGGAAGAGTGCCATCGAGATATTTTTACAAGTGAAAGAATCGACTTGAATATTTCCGACTCGCCCATGGCAGAGATGAACTCAGTTCCTGTGCCTTATTGGACGATGGTAAAAAGGAGATGACTTGATCATATCAAACAATTTCTTAGACACTCCAAAGAACCGTAGCATGTGTTTATGCAAAATGCAGAGAGCACCGGTCTCTCCGTAGACGACAATTCAAGTGTTTTGTTTGAAGTAAAATGTAAGTGTGTAGCTGTTAATTGTGAGCCCAGGCCCAGAGATATGACTAAGTAATTCTCTATGCGAGGTCAAACCATGAACCATTGCTGAACGCTTGAAACCCAGCGAGTGAGGACCATTAGCGGAGCCTTCCATGGATACGACGATTATTTATATGCGATGTACCTTCTCGGTTATATTTCGGACATCCGCGCGCCTTTTACATGTAGGGAGCTAATTCAGTGTTTGTAAGAATTTCCAAAAAAAGATACATAATCTGAAGCTACTGTCGGTACACGAGATGTTTTTTTTTTTATTAAAAGAGTTGGCTAACTCAAAGATTACATTGTACTGACGCCACCGACAGTGTCGACTATGAGCAAGCATTTACCTACTAAAAATAGAAACGGACATGTTTTCGGGATGATGACCAAATATACTCGAAATTTATAGCTTAAAGGTACTATGTGTATGAGACACACATTTTTTACGAAGACGCCCACATCGTTTTAATTGGTAGTTAAAATATAGGTATCTCTATCTCTATATCTATAAGTTCTAATTTAAATTAGCCTACTCAGTGTGCATATTTTGTGTCATATAATAGAAAAGATGGTCTCGAAGTACATCCAATATCTTGTAATTCTATTAATCAGAAGATGCGGGTATGGGTTAGGATATTCCTGAGTTTCTTCTACCATCTTCCATCTTTGGAAGTGAAGTCTTCATCAATCTTCCTATCGAGCTTTCTCTACTCCTTATTTACTGATATTGTAAGACCAAGGGTGGGTCGGTACTACAGTCCTGCCTATTACAGAAACTTCGACCTTGTCGTAAGAATGTAGAGTGCATTTACGTTAAGGAGCTTAAGCGCTGTAGTTACCATAGCTAGTTTAGAGAAATTATATCGTTACTATCACTATTGAATAGACAACAAGAAGTCAGCCGATATCTTTAACTTAAAAAAGAAGAATGTTTTAAATAAATCAGACCTCCTCATGAACTCACTCACGAACACTGTTGGACGCAGGCGTCTCCCAAACTTCTCCGAAACGACTGGGCTTGCGTTGCCTGCATCTAGCAGATTTTCGCGAGTTTGAACAGGTCATCGGTCTTGTGAGAGAGGTCTCCCAGTCTACGGCTTCCGGTATGCGACGTCACTAGAACTTTTTGGCCCCAATGACCACCTGTTCCATGATCTTACTTACTGCGTTTTTTAAATTAAGTGACCTTTTTTTATATTTCTTTACTGCCTGTCTTCTTATCTGTGATTCTTAATATCCTTTTGGTTCCATGGGTGAATGAGCTCGCGCCCTACACTGTGTTAAGTCACCAACGTCCACATGAATAACTAAGTGAAAGCCGCTACCCATTTTGTCCATATCCGTTCTACCAATGAGATCAAAGCCTCAAGTGTAATGTTAATGCGCGACGAGCGTACCACCTTTCAAACAGGAGATCATAACTCATTTACAGAGATAGACACGACGGTAGTACCTTCCCGTGGGGTTACCATCATTAATTACTTTAATTATTAATTTTTGCGTCCTTAATTTTTATTAGAGAATGGTATTTCTTCATCGTGGAAATTGTTGGTGAAAACATGCTAGGTACAATTTGAATTTAAATTGGAATTTATCGTGAGACACGAGCATGAAAAATGTAGATAAGTATAACAACCTCTTTTTTGTTTGGCTACCTACTGCTAGTAACTTTAAGGGGTTAGCTTTACTGAATGTGTAGGCGAAGTTCAAGGGGCTCAACCGGGGAAACTTAGGTAACTCTGTTCTGCTCAGAGCAGAGCT